AGAAGAGGATTGTTAGGGAAAGAGTATATTCAGCAGTAATGTTTGACACAGTCAATTCCTGCTCTTCTGACCTTTTCTTTCCCTAGTCCACAGAGCAATCACAGGCTTTTATCCTTCCTTTCTTTTTTAAACCCCACTCTCCATAGTTAGTGTTTGTTTTCCTTACGAGTAACCCTCCCTTAATTTTTCTTCCTTGTTATATCCCCATTCCTTTCTCCCCTTTCTTTCCCACCATTGAGTGAAATGTATTTACACTCCCAACTCTGTGTGTGTGCGTGTGCGCGCGTGTGTGTGTGTGCATTCTTACCTCCTTTGACCAGTTCAGATGAAAGTGAAATGGAAGTGTTGCTTACTCTCTCCACCCCTCCTCTTTTGTGTATATAGTTTTCTACTTGTGCACCCCAGTTATGTAAGATATTTTCCTCTGTCCTTCTTTTTTCCTCTTCCACTCAGTGTATTACTTTACTTCTTTTTTGCTTTTTAATTTTAAGATTAATTAAAACATAATAAGGCCATTTGCAGACTCTGTCTTATATAACTATTGATGATAATATAGTTTTGAGAGGACATATCTATCATCTCCCCGTATCAGTCAAGGAAGCAAGCATTTATTAAGCACTTACTATGTGCTGGGCACTAGGGATACAAGGAAAGGCAGAAGATGCTCTTTGCTGTCAAGGAGCCTGCAGTCTGGTGGGTGAGATAACATGCAAACAACTTGATCAAACAAGGTATAAACAGGGTAAATTGGAGATAATAAACAGAGAGAGCATTAGCATTAAGGAGAACCTGGAAAGGCTTCTTGTAGAAGGTCAGCTTTAGCTGGGACTTGAAGGAAGCCAGGAAAGCCAGTGGGTAGAGATGTGGAGGGAGAGAATTCCTGGCTTGCGGGACAGCCAGAGAAAAGATGCAGAGGTGGGAGATGATGTGTCTTGTATGAAGAACTGCCAGGAGATCAGTGTCACTGGATTGAAGAGTCAGGGAGTAAGATAAAAGAAGACTAGAAAGGTATGAGGGGATCAGGTTAGGAAGGGCTTTGAATGTCAAACGGAGGATTTTATTTTTGATTCTGGGAGTGATAGGGACCACTGGAGTTGATTGAATAGGGAGGCGATATGATCAGACAAATAGAGAGATGATATAATCAGACTTATGATTTAGGAAAATCACTTTGAGTATCAGCTGAGTAGTACATGGACTGGAATGGGGAGAGACCTATGGCAGGCAGACCTGCTATTGCAGTAGTCCATGTCTGAGGTGATAAGGATCCGCACCAGGTTGGTGGCAGTGTCAGAGGAGGGGAGTTGTAATATGTGAGAGATGTTATATAGATAAAATCAAAAGCCTTGGCAACAGATTGGATACGGGAGGTAAGAGAGAGTGAGTAGTCAAGAATGATACCTAGGTTGTGAGCTTGGAATGTAAGTAGTCTGACCTTGTTGAATTCCTTATGATTGCTCATTCATATCTATCTTTTTATGATTCTCTTAACTCTCATGTTTATATTTCAAAGTTTTTATGAAGCCCTGTTCTTTTCATTAGGAATATTTAGAAGTCCTCTTTTTATAATTAAAAGTCCATCACCCCTCCCCCCATTATAGTCAGTTTTGTTGGGTAAATTATTGGTTGTAAGCCTGTATCTTTTGCCTTTGGGGATATCACACTCCATTCTCTCTGTTTCTTTATAGTGGTGACTGATAAAACTTGTGATCCTAACTGTTGCTCCCTGATGCTTGAATTCTTTCTTTTTGACTGCATGTATTATTTTTTCTTTTATCTGAAAGCTCTCGATTTTGGATATAATGTTCCCAGAAGTTTTCATTTTGGGGTTTCAGTCACTCAAAAAGCTTATTAGGTACTGTATGCTAACTGCTGGGAATACCAATATAAGTAAGACAGCCACTGTCCTCAAAGAGCTTACATTCTAGTGGAGAAGATAATACGTAAAAGGAAACAGAAAAAGGAGCAAAGGAGGGAGAAGAAGGTACCTGACAAGGGGAGAGGCATGATGGAGAAGTCCAGAGAATGTTGTTCATCCTTTTTTTTTTTTTTTTGGCTAGGCAGTGGGGTTAAGTGACTTGCCCAGGGTCACACAGCATCCTTCGTTTTTGAAGAAGACCAATGACATCATGAGGGTGATAGCTTGACTTGTCTGTGAATGGGATTTAAGTGAGGCAGAATTGCACAAAGTCATCAGCCTCATGTTCTCTTCCAGAGTCATCACCCTGTGTGCCCTCCATAAGAGTCCTTTACCCTTTGATCAGAGGGAGGGACCCCAGGGACAGAAGGGTGCTTCTGAGGTATGAGTTTGTGAGTTCCAGTTCTGGAGTGTTCTTTGAGGATGAAGGAGGTTTCTGGGGCCGGAGGTGACAAATGGATTTTTTCTATTTTCACTTTGCCTTCTGGTTCTAAGGACATCTGGGAAGTTTTCTTTCATGAATTCTTGAACTATAATTTCTAGACCCTTTTTTTGGTCATAGCTTTTAGGTATTTTAGTGTTTCTTAAATTATCTCTCCTCCATCTGTTTTCCAGGTGACTTATTTTTGGTATGAGATACCTTTCGCTTCTATTTTTTCAGTCTTTTGGTTTTATTTTTATGTTTCTTGTGTCACGGAGTCTTTAACTTCTGCTTGGGCCACTCTGATTTTCAAGGATTCTGTTGGTTGGGTAAGGTTTTGTACTGTTTGGCTCAAGCTGTTAATTCTCTTTCTAATTCTTTATTCTGTAGTTCTCATTTCTTTTCTATTTTTTCCCCATTAACACTTTTATTTCTTTTCCAGTTCTTTCCTCTAGCACTTTTATTTCATTTATAAGGTCATTTTTGAACTCTTTAAAACAAAATTTTTTGCTTTAGCTGTTCTAGGAATTCTAGTTGAACTTGTATCCAGTATATATTTTTCTTTGGAGCTTTGCTTATAGATGTTTTAGTGTCACTCTTGTTTTCTATGTTTTTTGTTTTAGGCCTCTCCATCACATAATAGCTCCTTATGGTGGGATTCTTTTTCTGTTTTCCCAGTTTTCCATCCTTGCTTCCTGAATTTGATCTCTTTATTAAAGCCAGACTCTTTGCACTTCTGGAGGGAATGTCTGGGCTGTGCTTTGTGCTGCTTTTGGGGTACCTTTTGGGTACTGCAGCTGCTTTCTCAGGATATGCATGTTGTGTTGTTACTGCATCCCAGGGACAGCTCAGGCTGTCCTTGCAAGTCCTGTAAGCTTTCAGTGAATCCCAAGTGCCTTGATCCAGGGTGAAGCCTAAGTGCTGACTTCCTGGTCTGACCTTCGCAAACTCGCGACCTGGGTCTGAGCAACACAACTGTGGCTTTAACCCTGTTTTGAGACGGCTGCTGGACTCAGCCACTGTCAGCAGATTTAGAAGCTCTGATAGTTCAGAGTTGCAGGCTCCCCTTTGGTTTGAGCTTCCTCCCGTGGTTATTCCGCTATAGGCTTCATCCTCACGTGTGAGCTGGATCTGAGACCCAGTTATGCTCCTGGGGTCAGAGCCACACAGCTGCTGCTTAATCTAGTGCTCCTGAATTTTAGTGCCTTCCTGCTGAAATTAACTCTAATTTAGCCTGCATATATCACACTGCTATTTGCATGTTTTCTCCCCTTATACACGGAGCTCCTTGAGAGCGGTGAGTGTTTTTTGCCTTACTTTGTATCCCCTGCACTCGGTATGGTGCCTGTAACACAGTAGGTGCTTAATAAATGGTTGTCGACTTACTGCCTGTTTGCTTCTGTATTTGCTTCTTTCTCAGTGTGCAGCTGTGCCTGATTGTTCCTCAGCCTTGACTGCCACAGGGGATGGGTTGCCTCTTTAGGCCACCCTTGTACTTGTGACCCAGCACTGGATAGTGGGTGACAGTTACCAAGCGGCAACTACTGTTGCTCTCTGCACAGTGTTGGGCGTCTCTGTGCAGCTCTGGGACCTCTTCTTGCCCTCATTTAGTCCCCAGATGCTCCTTGGGGTGCACTTCCAGCCATACTCCATCCTCAGTGGTTGCAGACCTTTCTCGGTTTGCTTATGCCAATCTGGACTGAACAGTGACTCGTAATTTTTTTCTTGGGTTTCCCAGTCAGGGCTGGGTCTGGTGTGTTCTCCAGATTTTCCTGGAGTTCTGTGGGAGAGTTGGGCTCTTACTGTTCTCAGTCGCCTCACTGTGGTTGCATCTTAAATGTGGTCTTTGTGTGGTGTCGAGGAACCTTGGTTGCCTGAGGAGACTTTTTAAGAATCAAAGGCTCATAACTTGTTAATATCTAGAGAAACTTTAGAAGTCAACCCTCTTGCTTTGAAGGTGAGAGAGGGGATTTGCCTTGCCTGAAGTCCCACAGCAGCAGGGCCGGGACAAGATCCCAAGTCTCTTTTTGGCCCTACTAATTCTCTTTCTCCTTTTTCCCTCAATACTCTAATCCTCAGTGGTGATATGAACAAATAACCCACATCTGCCAGTTCTGTCTTGCCTTTTGTAAATAGTTTTTAATATCTTCTGGTATTTCTAATGGTCACTTTTTGGCCTTTGGGGAGTAGTTAGTATTTCTTTTCCAGTGGAGACATTCATGTACACACCTACATATACTAGAGTCTCCTGATTCCTAGCCTCAGGCTCTTTCCACTACTGGCAGGCTGCCTTGAAAATATCAATTAGAGCTAATAGGGGAATGGAGCAGAAAGGAGTGCAAATCTGAGCCCAGAACACATGGATTCTCAGCACCTATTCCATTCAGCACACATTTATTAAGCACCTATTGTGTACATGGCACCAAAGGGATCAGCTCTCTCTGCATGCTAGAAGGAGGGAGGCATAGCACGCTGGGGTTATGAGGGGGCTGAGAGGTATATGATTCCGTTCCCTCAGTGTTTGGTCAGCACAAACTCTGCCAGGTGGAGGAGAGACTTTGTTAGGTTCTGTGGGTCTCAGGAGCAGCTTTGGAGAGAGGAGTGTTGTTTATAAGTTATGGGAATTAACCTCTTTCATTCCTCTGATTTTTTTTTTCATAGTAAGCAGCTGCTGTGTGATGTGATGATTGTGGCTGAAGATGTTGAGATTGAAGCCCACCGGGTGGTGCTGGCCGCCTGCAGCCCCTACTTCTGTGCAATGTTTACAGGTATGATTCCTCCCCAGGTGTTACCAGAGACAAGTAAATGTTCATCTTCTGTGAATGCTGGCAGCCAGGCCTAGGAGGAAGCTGCGTGGCACAGGGTTGAAGACAGGCAATCTAGGGCCATGTTCTGGTTCTGCCGCCTACTGGTTGGGTAACCATTGGCAAGTTTCTTTGTCTTTTCTGGGCCCCAGCCTCCTCATCTATAAAACAGGGGGAGTGGGATCCTAGGTTTGGGGAGAACCTCGGTTCAAATCCCAATTCTGCTAACTTATTACATATAGTAATGACTACATATCTATAACTTTGGGCAAGTCATTTAGATTCTAGAAATCTCACTTTCCTCATCTGTGAAGTGAGGGGGTTGGCATAGATGGTCTTCAGTATTCCTTCTAGCTCTAAATGTGAACCCAGGAGGCAGTGTGGTTTAGTAGAAAGAGAACAGCTTGTAGAGTCAAAGGACCTGAATCAGATTCTGCCAACAGTCCTAACTAGTAGGGGCAAATCACTTCACCTCCACGGGCCTCAGTTTCCTCACATCTGTAATGTGAATTTTCATCTTGTCACTTATTAATTGTGTGACATGGGCAAGTTATTTGTACTCTGGGAGCTACAGTATCTTCCTCTGTGAAATGAGGGTAATATTTATTTCTCTGGGCTCTTGTAAAGAAAGACCAAGTGAGATAATGTATAAGAAAGTGGTTTGTAGTGGTATATAAGTGGTATATAGGTTTATAGGAAGTGATATATAAGTATAAGAAATTATTATTTCCTGGATTACACCATTATGGGCTGAGGGAAAAGAGGAAGTACAGTATGAACTTGGCAGAGTTCTTATTCTATAGGTTCATAAGCCCAGAAAGTCACCTAACCTGGGCTAGCAAGTAGCCACCTGTCTGCTGGCTCAAGATGTAATGAACCATTAACAGAATCTTGGAGGTGGAAGGACTGATTTTGAACCTAGATGAACTCTCATTTTAGCTTTACAACAACTTTTCTTTTCTTTCTCTTCTCTTCTCTTCTCTTCTCTTCTCTTCTCTTCTCTTCTCTTCTCTTCTCTTCTCTTCTCTTCTCTTCTCTTCTCTTCTCTTCTCTTCTCTTCTCTTCTCTTCTTTTCCAAGGCAATTGAGGTTAAGTGACTTGCCTAAGGTCTCATAGCTAATAAGTGTCAAGTGTCGGTTTGAGAGCAGATTGGAACTCAAGTCCTCCCGATTCCAAGGCCAGTGCTCTATCCACTGTGCCATATACCTGCCCCTACAACACCTTTTTAAGGAAGATAGCCTAGGATAGATTATTCTTATATTTCAGAGGGTGAATATGAGCTTCAGACACATTAAGAAATTGACTCAAGGCCACATAGCACTTCCAGCCCCATGATCTAGTCATTTTGTTGAACCTGTTAACATGCTGTGTGGAGAAACAACTCCAAGCCATTTAGTAAATACCAGGTTTGTACAGGAATCTTCTCTATAGAATCCCCACAAGTGGCCCTCCAGGTATTGCTTTCAAACCTTTAGTAAAGGGTGAACCCACTTGCTTTTGAGGCAGCCCACTCCCCTTGCAGATAGTGCTAATTGTCAGGAAGTTTACATAGAATCACAGAATATCAGAGTTTGAAGGAGACATAGAGCACACCTAATCCAAATATACTTGAAGAAGAATCCTATTCATGCTGAGCTCAAATCTGCCTCACTGCAATTCTTGCCCATTCATCCTCGTTATGCCCTCAAAGGCCAATTAGACTAGGTCTAATCTCTGTCCTACATGATAGGCCTACAGATACTTGAAGACAGCTATCATGTCTCCCCCAAATCTTCTTTTCTCCAAGTTGTACATTCTTAATTCCTTCATTCAACCCTTGTAGGACAAGGTATTTAGGCCTTTCACCCTCCTGGTCACCCTTATTTGGATGGTCTCTATCTTACCAATATCTTTCCTAACAAGACTTAAAGGTGCCTAGAATTGAACACTATTCCAGATATTGCCTAATTAAGGCAGGGTATGGTGGCCAATGACCTCTCTCCTGAGATCATATTAGTTTTTTAGTTCTCTATATTGTACTGTTGATCTGTATTGAGTTTGTATTCTACTAAATTCCATTTCTTCTACCATCAGATTTTAAGGTCATTGACTTATTGCAATGTGTCCGGGGAGGCAGGGGGTTTGGGAAGGGAGTTATTCTGCAGAGTAGATGGTAAGACTTTGGCATCTCCACCTGTTAGAGCATCCAGTGCCTGCGAGTTTGCTAATCAATTAGTCAATAAGCATTTGTTATGTGCTTAATATGTGCCTAGCGCTGTGCTAAGCAGTGAAGTTATAAAGAAAAGTAAAAGACAATCCCTGCTTTCAAGGAGCCGACAGCCTAATGGGGGAGACAATATGTAAATAACCATGTACAAATAAGCTATATTCAGGGTAAATTGGAAACACTCAGCAGAAGGAAGGCCCTAGAATTAAAAGGGACCAGGGAAGGCTTTATGAAGAAGGTGAAATTTTAGCTGGGACTTGGAAAGAAGCCAGTGAAGGCAGGTGGCAAGGATGAGGAGGGAGAGAATTCCAGGCATGGAGGACAGCTAGTGAAAATGCCGAAAGGGTGGAGATGGTGTGTTTTGTTTGAGAAATAACAGGAGGACAGTGTCACTGAATCACAGAGTAAATGGGGGAGGAGGGGAAAGTGTAAGAAGACTGGAAATGGAGTGGGGGAGCTGGTTATGAAGGGCTTTGAACACCAAACTGGATTTTATATTTGATCCTGAAAGTGATAGGGAACCATAGAAGTTTTTGACCTGGGTGTGTGTGTGTGTGTGTGTGTGTGTGTGTGAGACATGGCTTGCTTCGAGAAATGGTTAGAACTACCTGTTAGGAAGATTGCTTTGACAGTTGGGTGGAGGATGGACTGGAGTGGGGAGAGACTTATAGCAGAGACCAACCAGCATGCTGTGGTTATGGTCTGGGCCTGATGCAGGCCTGCACCAGAGCGGTACCAGTATCAGAATAGAGAATGGGGGCGAGGCATATGTGACAGATGTTACAAAGGTAGAATCAATAGACCTTGGTCACAGATTTGATGTGGGAGGTGAAAAAGAGTGAAGTGTTGAGGGCGACACTTAGGTTGAGAATGTAGGGTACTGGGAGGATGGTGGTACCTCTAAAATTAACAGGGAAGTTTGGAAGGTGTTTTGGAGAAAATAATGAGTTCCGTTTTGGATGCGTTGAGTTGTTTAAGATGTCTGAAAGCAGTTGGAGAGAAGAGACTGGAGATTAGCAGAGAGCTTAGGGCTGGAGCAGTTGATTTAAGAATCATCGGTAGAGAGATGAAAATGGAATCCATGGGAGCTGGGACCTGGGAGATCATCACGTGAAGTGTTATAAAAGGAAAAGAGAAGAAGGGCTAGGGCAGAGCTCCCTGGGACACCCACATGACCTGGGTAAAGATCCAGCAAAGGAAACTGAGGAGTGGTAGGAGAACCTGGAGAGAGCAGTGTCATGAAAACGTAGAAAGAAGAGTGTCAAGGAGAAGAGGGTGATTGATGGCGTCTGAGGCTGCAGAGAGGTCACAAAGGATGAGGATGGAGAAAAGGCCATTAGATTTGACAATTATCAGATTTTTCATAGCTTTGGAAAAGGCTGTTTCTGTTGAATGATGAGGTCAGAAGTCAGACTGGAGAGTTAAGAGATTGAGAGGAGAGGAATTGGAAGCATCTGTTGTAGATGGCCTTCTCAAGGAGTTTTGCCACAAGAGATAAAGGATGATAGACAGATCTGGCATAGACAGATCAAGTGAGTTGGGTTTTACATACCAAGGTGAGAGTAGTGGTGGAGAAGCCAGTCTTTTTTTCTAGTTATTTCATATGTTTTAGTTTCTTCTCCAACCAGTTAGAACACAAGTTCCCCAACACAATGGTTTACACTTCTCTTATTTCCCCTACAGTAAACATCAGGCACTGTGAGGTACTCTTGTAGGTGCTCAGTAAGTCCTTTTTAGTTGAATAACAGGATTTTTGTTGAATTCAATTCTAAGGGACAGGTACAAGGTGACCTTAAGAGGGTCAGACATTAGCAGCTAGGGGAACTAGGAAGGACCTTCTGCAGAAGGTGGGCTTTGAGGTGAGTCTTGAAAGGAAACCAGAGATTGTAAGAGGTTGAAGTGAGGAGGGGAAGGATTCTAGCAATGGGGGAAGTTATTGCAAAGGGGTGTGTGCGTGTGTGTGTGTGTGTGTGTGTGTGTGTGTGTGTGTGTGTGTGCAGTACAATAAACTAAGCCAATATGACTGAAAGATAGGACGGGGCCCAATTAGAAAGAGCTTCATGTGCCTGATGAGACCTGTTCCTTTGAGGTCACTGTGTGGCTCTGTTGAGGATGGATGACAGTGGGGAGACGTCTGAGGCACGGAGGTAAATTAGGAGGTTATTAAATGCAGCCTTTCCTTCACTAATAAAGATCTGTACCTTCTCTGCAGCTTACAGTCTTGGAGAGTGATGAACTGAGTGGTTAAATGACTCCGTCAGAGTCACGTGCGGAACTTGAACCCTGGTATTCCTATCTTCAAGACCTTCTGCTAGGCTGTGCTGCCTCTCAAAGGGAGACTGCCACCCATTATTCAGTGGTTTTTCATTTGTCTCCCCTATGCTATCTTTGCGTTAAATAAGAACTCTGAAATTTGTTTGTAGAATGTGAGATTGGTACTGAAGCGATGCTATTATTTATGCAGGTCTGGAAACCAGCAATAATTTATTCCTTCATTTATTCAGTCAGTTATTTAGTAAGCTTGCTAATTATGCACTGAGGTGCTGATCACAATGCTGTAGTGTTTAGGGAGAAAGAAACTTTAGGTAAGACACAGACACAGCCCTTCGGCCTAGCTTATCATCTAGTTGGTGGATAAGATTTGAACACAAGTAACTATAATATGCAATATTACATCAACTACATTGTAAAGGTAGAAGATTTCTGGTGCCAGGATGGTGGAATGAGGAAGGAACCCTCTGAAACCCTCCCAAATTCC